CTTCCCAGGTACCTTCCCGGGTCCCTTCCTGGGGAGGGGCGCTGCTGCCGGCCCAGCTGGAGCCCCGCGGGCCCCGGGCCGGCCTGACGGGCCTTCTCTCTCCGCAGAGATGTGGTACGGCGTCTTCCTCTGGGCTCTGGTGTCTTCGCTCTCTTTCCACGTCCCGGCTGCTTTGCTAGCGCTCTTCACGCTCCGGCATCACAAGTACGGGCGGTTCATGTCCGTGAGCCTCCTGCTGATGGGCATCGTGGGACCCATCACCGCCGGCATCCTCACAAGTACGGTAGATGCTCCTAAACACCGGCCGGGCTGGGGCTGGGAGGGGTCAGAAGGTGCCTTCTGTATGGATATGGATGCTTTGCCTTGTTTTCTCTCCTTACCCCGTGTTTGAGAGTCCAGCCATCCCAGCTGTGAAGCCCGGGTGCCAAGGGGTGCTGAGCCAGCTGGGCTTGCAGGTTCCTGAGGTTAAAAAAAAAACCCCACAGGATTGGTGTCTGTGCCCAGAACTGGGTGGTATTTGCAGCTTGTGGTTCGTGGTGGAGGTGTAGGTGTAGGATCTGATGTAGAGCTGGTGAGGAGAGCATGTCCTGAGCCACCCCAGCAGAGTTTTCCCCTCGGATTCCCAGTTGCCACCAGGATGTGTGTGTTACTGGCTGAGGTTTGTTGTGGTTTTTCTGCCAGCTGGGGCACAGGGCCCTCTCTCACCTCACATCCAAACCTCCCCCTTCCATCCCCGTGGCACAACAGGGTATATCCCAACCTCAGCCCTCACGTCTTCCCACTTCTCCCCCCTCCTTCTCCCACAGGTGCTGCCATTGCTGGTGTTTACAGAGCTGCGGGGAAAAAAATGAGCCCCTTTGAAGCCCTGGTTTTAGGAGTGGGGCAGACCTTCTGCGTGGTGGTGGTTTCCTTCCTACGCATTTTAGCCACTCTTTAGCTCTTCCCTCAGAATCCAGAGTTCCCAGATCCAAGGGAGATCAAAGGACCTGCCTGCACCGGCTCCCAAACGAAAGACATGGCTAGGCTGGGCCTGGGCTTCTCCTCTGGCTACAGGCTACATGAAGGCCTGCTCCTGCCTTCAAATTAACCTAAACATTGTGAGTTTTGTTACTTTTTGGTAACATTAAGTGCCAAGTGAAACCTTATTTCTCTGGAGGACTGGGAAAATGGCTTCCAGCAGTGGGAAGCCCCTTGTACCCGTGATGAATTGTAATGATGGGACTTAATTAAGATGTGACACCAGCTGTCCTGGGAAGTACTACAGAGTCAAGGCATGTCTTCAGAGCTCACTGAATGCTTTCACCTCCTGCTGCTTGGTTTGCAGTGAACCTGAAGCTCTTTTAATGTGATTTTTATTGTATTTTTTTTAAACAAGAAAATGGATTTGTCTTCTTCCTTGCCCCAGCTCTTGGTCACAGTGAGCAGCACAAGGAAAGAGGCATGAAAGTGGAAACTTGTGACTGTGAATGCTGTGGGCAGGGGGAGTGAAAAGGATCACTGGTGGTGTGAATTTTATGATGGTGGAGTCCTTCTTGTCACCATGCACCCTCTGCCCAAGAGGAAGCACATCTGAACCCAAGCTGGAGATCCCAAGGGATGTGGGCTGTTGCTTTTCAGGCTGTGAAGGAGACTTGTGTTTTTAAACTCCTCTGCTCTTCTCCTGTTACTTGTTAATCATGTTTACATGGGTGTGGTGGAACTGAGTGTCTTCACTGGTTTTTGAAGGTTGCTGGCCAGCTCATGGAATCATCCTCATCTGGTGGGTGGGATGTCTAGGAGGGTCCTGGGAAGAGCCTGGGTGATTCCCATGTCCACCAGGGATGAGCCATGTGAACACAGCCCCAGACCAACAGGCATTATGTTCTCCTCTAATGAATTGTTTTAGTTTGTTTTGTTTTTAAATGACTTTAACTAACTCTTTAGTCTACCCTCCTGTCTGGTGGCACATCACGTGCTGGGCTGGAACAACCCTCAGCAGGGCCCTACATTTAGCATGGAAAAGAATTTCTCCCTCTGTACCAGCTTTTCCAGAGTGGTATTTTTCAGGAGCTCCTTGCTGAGATGACTCTAAATTTTAGCCTGTCTTAATTCAAGGAATAAAGCTGTGCAGTTTAGGAAAGACTTTAACATGAACCTTCCCCCTGAGTGGGTGAGCTCCAAGTGGGGTAACTTATACTGATCTCTGGAGCACCACATGGGTGTAGAGGGCTGGTCTTCCTCCCACCACATCCCCAGGGAGGAAGGCTGGGCCTCTCCTTCCATCTCCACAGCAGCAATAATGCTCTCTCTAGCTGTCTTTTCCCTGTTTCCCACTTATTTCCAATGGCTGCACACGCATTTTGTGCCTGGAACACCTGGTTTCATTCACATGAGTTATCCTGGATGGATTACAGGTTTCTCACTGGGCAGGTCTGACCTTACCTTTCAGGTGATGATGGAAACCAGTGTCCTGGGCACCCCCTGTGCTCCCCTTCCCAGGCTCCTGCCATCCTCTGTAGCAAGGACTAAGCTGGGAAAAGCACTTTTCTCCACGTGCCACATGCTGGGGCACGAGGACGGTTCCTCCTCTCTGAGGCCCACAGGGACAAATCCTGTTCAGAGCTCAGAGCAAATGAAAAAAAAGGGGCTTAAATAAAATCCCTTGATGCTGGGAAAAAAGAAACCTTCCTGTTTTCTACCCACTGGGATTTGTTTTGAGGGGAGGATCTGCTTCAATTGAAGAGCTGGCAGCTTGGCTGCTGTTTGGAAGTGAAGTGGTTGGAGCTGGTTGTGCCTCTTTGTGCCCAAGAGCTGTGAAAATTTCAGGGAGTTCTTGCATAAAAGGTGAACAATCAGCTGCAGGAGGGGGGGGTGAGATCTTTGTGTCCCCTGGCTGCCTTCCCAACCTCCCTCTCCAGTAGAGCCAGATCAGACCTGGAAGGAGGAGCAGTCTTGAGTCCATGCACCAGATTGGCAGTGCCCCCTGCCCTCTCAACCACATGGCTTTGGTCTTCTCTTTCTGTTCCTTGTCCTGGGGGAGGCAAGTGGAGGGATCTCTTCCATGGGTAGACTTTGCTCAGTCAGACCTACCAAAAGCTGCACAGAACTTGCAAAAATGTCCACACTGGGCAGTGCTGTGACCCCCTGGCCAGGGAGCCCAGCCACCAGTGTCAGGCAAGAGAAATGTCACTGCTTGAGGGTAGATGTGGGCCCTGCTTTCTGTGTTCAAACACCCTCTGTGCTGAGGGACAGAACAAACTGTGGCTGCACGAACAAATCTTTGTATGATAGGAAAGAAAAATCCTCTGTAAATTTTATTTTTCTACTGACACTTCTAAAGCTGGTGGTGATTATCAGTAAATTCTGTAAGGAACAAGAGGAATGGAGCTGTGTGTTTCTCCTGCAGTGCGACGAGGGGGCCTGGGTTGTGCTTTTGGAAAGGAGCTTTGCTCCTGCCTGGCACAGGGTGGGAGAAACCCACTCTGGGAAGTTTGTAACAGGAAATGTCCTGGTTCTGCTGGTTGATTGTGTGTGTGTCCATCAGGCACTGCAGCCTGAGGTGACATCTCACTGCTGCTTGGCTGTCAGGGATGGATGGGCCTGGCCTGTTGTGAGGCTGGCAGTCCCTGTCCCCAAGGGTCTCTGCAGCTCCTGGGCTGGGTGCTGACCCCCTCCTGTCCCCTGGGGCAGTTCTCACCCCAGGATGGTGGCTTTGCTGGGGTTGTGAGTCAGTACCTGCACACCCCAAGGCTGTCCTGGGGGTGCAGGTGCAGGGGTCCCACTGTCCCCTTGCTGCTCTTGTGATGGGACTGCACACCTCACTGCATGGTTCCCACTAAAACCAGGGCTGGAGCAATCCCCTGCATTATTTTGCTTCTGTGTGACTGAGATGGGCACAAGTCATCTTTGTAAGATGGTGGCATCTGCACAGGGTGGCCATTTCCCAGGAGCTGGCCACCACACCCCTTCACTGCTCCCCTAGACCCTGGGACGAGCGTGCTCTGAGATCAAAACTGTCTTGAAAAATTCACATCCCAAGTCGGCAGGGATCCAGGAGGTTTTATTGGCAGTAGAAGGTCAGCACGTTCTCTTGGTTTCCGCGCGTGAGGATGATGGGGGGTCTCAGGTCCCGCGAGAGGGTCTCGAGCCAGGCCATGTAGAGGGAGCTGGGGCAGCGCCCCTTCCTGCCGATGGGCAGCGTGCTGTGGTGCAGTGAGGGGCCCAGTGAGGCACAGCCCCTCCTCCCACCCTGCCCCTCTCTCCTAATCCCCAGGTTATTTCCCTAAAACAGGGCAGCACCGCATCCAACGGGACCCCTTGGTGCCCGCCAAGGGCTTCTCCCTGCGGTGCAGCACCATCCCACTGCAGTGCTGGGGTGTCTGCTCAGGATCTCTCCGTGTTGGGTGGAGGGGGAACACCCAGAGGGACCATTCCATGGAGCAAGAAATGGATGGGAGGGTGTTGCTGGCACCTACATGGCGATGAGCGCCGCGTCCCGCGAGTAATCCAGCAGAATCTCGTTCAGCCTCACTTGTCGGAGCGACTGCGGAGCAAAGAGGGTTGGGAAATGCAAACAAATTGTTTCCAGAAAGACTGACTTTTGTCTCAAAAGCAAGACAGCCTTTGTGGGAACCCCCTGCCCTGGCACCAGTGCTACCTTAGCTCTGTTTTTATCGACTTCCTCGTCAGAAATCTTCCAGGGACAGCCCTGCCTCATCTCGTTCACCGTGGCCTCGTCTTTGAAGCCATCGTTCAGCCTGAAGGGGGCGATCAGGTCGTCGAACCTCTTGATGCTGCAAGACAAGCAGATGGTGCCGGGGAGGAGGGTCCGGGTGGGTTTGGGGGTGTTGGGTGGGGGGAGAAGGGGAAGGGGGCGTTACTGCTCTGGCCAGGGTTTCTGGTTGATGTCAGGGAGGATGTGGACCTCGTGGAAGCCGAGACGGAACTTGCTCAGCAGAGAGACAATCCTACCAGAGAGGAAGGGACACATTTTCCGAGAATTAGCAGAGCACCGTGGCTCCAGCAGGGACTTGTCCTGGCAGGAACCCCTGCTGCTGTCCTCGGGTCATGCTTGTTTGTTTTTTTTTTCCCCATTCCACAATCACATGGATTTTTGAAGGAGCAAGGCAAAGCAGCCAGGTCGAAGCTCACAGATCCCTGAGCCTGAGGGACTCAGGGTTTGCAGCAGCTCCTGCCACCCTCCCGTGGGGACAGCAGCAGTGGCCCGTGGCTGAGGGACAGCAGGGACCACCAGCACTTACGCCTTCCTCTCCTCATCCATCCTGTTGATCTGCCCCCCGACAAACACCCGGATTTTGCACTTTCCCCACCGCTTCTTGCGCCCCAGGAGGTAGGGGATGAGCAGCGTGAGACCTGTCCCCAAAACACTCACGGGTGGGCATGGCAGCAATGGGGGCCCCACGTGCCCTGGCACCACACGAGAAGGACTGAGCCCTCCTGGGCACCACGATGGAGGCATTGGACAGACAGACAGTGAAGAGGCACAGCTGCCAAGGGAGAACGTTACCTCCGTCATCGAAGAGCCAGTAGATGTCGATGGTCTTCTTGCCCTGCTCACTCTGGAAGATGGTGCTTGCCTGCTGCTCACTGGCCAAGCTGGCTGGGCCTGCTGCCAGGACAGGAGGATCCCAGTGTTGGTGAGGGGCTCCCCCCAAAATAATCCTTGGAGCCAGGGGTGCTCTGGGCAGCCCCAAGGACCAACCTGTGCCCAGGGCTGCTCTGCCACCAGTGCCGTTCTCGGGATGCTCCGCTGCCTCGAACATGGGGTTCACTGGGGAGGGAGGAGAAGAGCATGGGCAGCCCAGGTCCCAGCCCAGGAGTGATGTCTCACCAGGACTGTGACCTTCACCAGGGGACACAGCACCGGCTGGCACATCCCACCTCTCCAACATGTCTCCCAGCATCCCTGGCTGCCCACACCACTTACCGTGAGCCTGCATCACTCGGGAAACATTCAGCCCATCCTTCATCCTCATTAAACACACACCATACTTGAAGTCAAAGGCATCACTGGAAGGAGAGAGAAGGCAGTTGGTGGTGGCCAGCACAGGTCGGGTGGCACTGCCAGTTTAGCTGGACCCTGCACACAGTGTCCCCACAACCAACTGCAGGGCCACCGCTGGGCGCTGGTGTCCCCAAGGGGCAGAGGAGGCAGCAGGGCCGTACTGCAGGATGCCCACGTAGTCCTCCAGGCTCTGTGGGGATGCTGTCTGCCAGTTCCTCTTGTAACCCAGCACCAGGATGTTGGGTCTCATCTTCCCAAGGCCAGCAGCCTATGGATAGATGTCCCCATGAGACCCCCTCTGCAGGGACAGATGGACATGGGGGTGTCAGTCCACAGGGGAACAATGCAAAGATGGGGGGAGGGGTGCCCAGAGGTGATGGAAGATGAAGGACCCTGATGGTCAACAGCCAAGGATGGTTGTACCTGGATGAGCATTTGGACACCACTCCTCAGATCCTCAGCCACCACATCAGTGTAGAAAGCCTTGATCTTCCTCTTCATGAGCCACTTGGTATGGCCATCTGCTGTCAGCCGGGACTCCGGCATCTTCTGCTTCCGTGGACCCTGAGGGAAGCAGGGGCAGGGGCTCAGGTGACCCCTTCCAGCTGGAGGTCTTGCCACCAAGGACCTCCAGCTCCTCTTGGCAAGACCTGGACACTGCACACGTGGGATGTTGCAATCACAGCAAGAAAACCAGCCAATTTTGGGAGTCAGCAGCCAGTGCCCTTGGTGCCAGCAGTCCCTTGGCTGCCCACGAACTGGCATTTGCTGCACCACCTGTCTCCAGTGTCTGTTGAGGCTTCAGGACCACCCCTGTCCTCTGAGCAACCACCTCATCCTACCCCATCTTTGCTTTGTCAATTAATTGGCAAGGAGAAGCCAGTACCCCACAGGGACATCTTGGTACTTCATCAATATTGCTTAACAAGCTGGAGAGGCTTCCAGGTGAAATGTTTCAGCAGCAGCAGCAGCACTCAAACAGGCACATTTCGCTCCCCACCCTGTGAACCCACCAGGACACATCTGGATTCCCCAGCCCATCACCCACAGGTGGCCACAGCCCCCAGGACAAGAAACCAACTGGCTTTTGCAGGTTGCTCACAATCAGCACGTTGCCACAGAGCATCAGGCTGAGGTTCTTGGTGAACGTCCCCACAAAGTCCACCAGGGCCGGGCGGAAATTGGGAGGGCCGGTCAGCACCAGGCACTGTGGTCTGCAGGCAAGGAGAGGAAAGGGGGTGAAGGCTGGTGCTTTAGAGGCACCAAGCCTCTCTGGGAGGAGCTGTGTCTCTTCTCCTATGTCTGGCCAGCAGCAACTGGTAGGGAGCATCTTTAGGCTGAAAGTCCAGCCTCACTCTTCAGTCTTTTTATATCAGATGAGACCAACATGCCTGCCTGGAACAGAGCAGGCCTGCTTTCCGTCTGCCCACATGGCAAAGTTGTGGGATTTTTGGGTACAGCCACATTTTGGGCTTCCCAGTTACTGAGGATGGTGGTGAGGACATGGCCATGAAGCCACCCAGAAGTTGCTGGCAGTGGTGGCTGGCTCTGCATCCCCCTCCCTCTGTTCCCAGTGCCGCGCCAAGCTGCCCTTGCCTGTAGTTCTTGACGTGCTCATCCACTTCGCTCAGCCCCACCGAGTAGTTGAGAGCCATGTTGTAGGAGCTGGCTTGCATGGAGGAGCCCCAGTTGACATCTACACGAGGAAGATGGATTAGCAACAGGAGGGACAGTCCCTTGCAGGAGGGACAACGCCGGTGCCGGGTCACCGCCACACACCCGGCTTTTTGTAGAGGACGTATCCCAGGAGGAAGATGACGATGCCGAAGGCGATGAGGGCCGCCCACCAGGTCATGAGGAACATGATCACCACCGAGATGGCGGCCCCGAAGAGCGCGGCCCACTTGCTGTAATACCGAAAGGAGGGTCTCCAGCCTGCACGCAAACACAGACAGCGGCCGCTGCCGGGGCCCGC